GTTGATTTTTTTAAAAATGTGTAAATAAGTGTTTAAGAGTAATACTGCTTAAGTATTCTGTACATTTACATGTACCTGCCCACACTCCAAATGATATCTGTCTTTATTTATATATTCAATTTCTGCTTCTTATCAACTCAACATCAATTAACTAAAACAATAAATTTGATCTCTAAAAGTAATGCATTGAGTTTTCATGCTACTGTCCACCAGCCAAAGGGAAATCATTATTGTTATTATGATATTTCTTCTTGTTCTTATTGATATAGTTATTATTGTCATTATTATTATTATTATTATTATTATTATTATTATTATTATTATTATTATTATTATTATTATTATATTATTATGATTATTATTGTCATTATTATTTTATTGTTATTGTTATGATTATTATTATTATTATTTGATATTATTTATTATTTTGTATTAGTATTATTTTTTGTTACTATTATTGTTATTATTATTATTTTTATCATCATTATGACTGTTATTAATGCAAGTATTAGTATAGCCACTAACTACTATTACTATTATTATTATTACTACCATTATAGTAATATTTATAGTTATCATTATTATTATTATTATTATTATTATTATTATTGTTGTTGTTGTTGTTGTTGTTGATGTTGTTATTATTATTATTATTATTATTATTATTATTATTATTATTATTATTATTATTATTATTATTATTATTGTTCTTCTTCTTCTTCTTCTTGTAATTATTATTGTTATTATTATTATTATTATTATTATTATTATTATTATTATTATTATTATTATTATTTTATATTATATTAGTTATTATTGTTATTATGATGATGATTACTGGTATTATTTTTGTTATTATTATTATTATTATTGTTATTATTAATACTATTGTTATTATTATTATTATTATTATTATTATTATTATTATTATTATTATTATTATTATCATTATTATTATTATTATTGTATTATAATTATTATTACTGTTGTTGTTATCATTATTTATTGTGTTATTGTTATTATTATTATTATTATTATTATTATTATTATTATTATTATTATTATTATTATTATCATTATTATCATTATTATCATTATTATCATTATTATCATTATTATTATTATTATTATTATTATTATTATTATTATTATTATTATTATTATTATTATTATTATTATTATTATCAATGACTAGTTGACAAGATGCCAACTAGTCAGTTTCCTTCCACTCCACATGTAACCACCTTCCTTATAGTAAGCCTCTTTGATTGCTATTAGTTTTTTTGCATCGCATTGTTCTCAGAAAATATCAAGAGACAATTTCTTTATACTGTACGAAGCAAGCATTTGTGCAATTGATTTTACTTGGTGTGGGGATGTGCACAAATATACCATATATATTCAATGTGCTTTTCTTTTATATTGAGATCAAGAGGTATGGGTATAGTAGTAATGGTCTTTTCTACTGCATTAAATGTGTATTTACCATAGATGAACAGTATATAGTTGATGGTACCTTTAAAGTAGATGGGTTGAATGTAAACTGGGTCTTCCTTTTGATTTAATAGACATATTGTTGATTTTTAGGAGATATAGCTGGGATTCCCCTAAGCTTATTGTTTTTAATTGATCTTTTAAAGTATCTTTTAAAAGTACAATACATTTTTATCTTTATTCACCTGTGTATTGTTTCTCTTCGGAATTTCTCCCAAATGTTGTGTTCTCAGATATTGTATTAGAGCATGACAGTGTGATCTTATAGTAGGATGAGCATATTGTTTCTTTCCCCTTTTTATAGTGAATGACATACACTTAAACTTGTGTGATGTTATAGATATTTATTTATTTATTTTTTTGGTAAGGAGAATGAGCATTTTTGCGAATATTTCTTTTTGAGATCTGCATTATCTCACATAAATATGGAATGTTGTCAAGATATTAATATATTTAAGAATAAAATGTATGTTTATATATGGGCTGAAGATTACATATTGTATCTTTTTTTGCATTAATTCATAAAAGGTATTATTCATAAAAGGTATTATTTTCTTCCTTGCTAAAATGTAAATAAAGTTTTCGTATCCAATAGTATATGATTATCCCTCCTTTTTCAATTTTTTTTATGGTTTTTGAGTTTTGCATAAAGCTAATATTTAACATTTAACCCATTCCCGCCGGGCATGCCGTGCCATGCCCACTGTGAGATTACTTGTTAGATTGTTTTCACACATAGATGGCTACACTTGTACTAAATCACCAATGAGCCAATTACGAGTACCGCCTGTCTCGCCCGTTCACCCTTTTCTTTGATTTACGAAATATTTTATGCTATCTTATTTTGCTGTTACTAATGTTAAAAACATTATAAAAATTATAATGCTTATGATAAAAATAACACCATCAATATTCATGGCACTAGTGAAAAATACGTATTTCCCGCCATTTCAAATCAGGGGCAAGCAGAGCCATCTATGGGCAGACATTTAACAAAAAAGTATAGAAAATATGCACAGCATTTTCCCCATTTGTTGTTCATTTTCCCCGGCGGCAATGGGTTAAATAGGTTGGGTATTAAAGTTGTTTTGCACTCATCCATTTATTAATAGCTATATTGACCAGAAGGGAAATTTACTGTATGTTTCCGTTAACTCTTCGTGGAATTCTTTCCTACTTATCATAATGAAATGTGATAATGGTGACAATTTTGTTATCAGCCTGGCAATATAACAAATTAATTAGCAACACATGACAGATTAGTCACATAATTAAAATTGCATAGATGTGCTAATTGCTGAGAATAATAATCTGGGATTTGTGTAAGTCTAAAGCTACTCTATTATTTTGAGTGGCAAAGAAAGTTTATGGTTTGTAAATGGTCTATCAATAACACTGAATTAATTGAATGTATGAGTAAAAAAAATCCATGAAAAGAGGATTCCATTTGTTGTCTAGCACATTTATTTTAACCATTATTTTAACCATTAACCATTACAGTCATGCAAAGTGCAATTTTTTTTTTTTTTTTTTTTTTTTTGCTTTTCTCATTATTGCAGTACAGCAAAGTATTTTGAGTAGTTTTACAAACTAGATCTATCAACTCCATAGATATATGGTATTCTGTATTTGTTGATAATGACTGATTAGTTGAATCACTTCAATTAGATCAATGAATTCTTAGCACCAGTTGCAAAATAGTGGTAAAATTGAAATGAAATTTACTGCACAAAATTCCCCAATCATAGTTTGCACTGAGAATTAAGGGTTCCTTTACTACTTTTCCATGATGAAATTTCCTGGGATGTTCAACTCTCACCTTTCATTTCTGAATATGACTCTGACTATTATCAATTTGCAGTTTTTTCTTTCTTTTAGTCTTAAAGTGCAATGCTATTAGTTTCTTTGGAAGAACTTTAGATATGCAGCTGACATGGAGTCACAGATATTAAAAATACTGAAATGATCTTTTAAAAATGTGGGGCAACATTTTTGGAACGTTGACATCATAATTAAGGATATACCCAAAAATTAATTTGGAATGAGTTTAAACATTCCATGGGTGCCCTATCACCATGTTAATAAAAGACTATCATTTTGCCATGTAATCAACTGTATTTTAGAATCATAGAAGGTACAAGGAGATTTAGAAAAACAATATTCAATCATTTATTCACCTTATCACTAAATCCACTTCTATCATAATTATCAAGTGAATCTTAAACTAAGCAAGCTAGATAAAACAATTTGTACTGCTTCAACCTGTCAGTGACACCAAAGTAGTAAAAAAGTGTTGATTAGTGAAGCGTGGCATATTGCGTAAAAAATAAATAATTTTTTTTTATCTGCTTAGAAAACAAAGTGAACAAGAAAACATTAATTCAAAGAAAAAGATGGATGGCATTTCGAGGATTCTTAATTTTTAGCTGAACCCACAGAAATTCTTGAAGAAAGATTAGAGAAAGTTAAAGCTTTTAAAAATAATAACTTTGTAGTCTATCTTTCAAAATTATAGATACATCTTTTCACATCACTTCCAGAATGAATATACAAACTCCTGTATAATTTAACAAATTACATGTAATAATAGTAATAATAATAATAATGATTGTAGTAAAAATAAGAACAAACAAGATGATAGAAATGATAATGATAATAATAATGTTGATAACAATACTCATAATAATAACATTAATATTAATAAGAATGATAGTAATAGCAATAAAAAAGGATGAGTAATAGTAAAAAAATAACAAATTATGGTAATGTATCTATAACACTATCAGCACCATTATCAATTTAGTAACTGCAAAAATTTGTTAAAGCAAACTGTGATATTATTACCATATAAACTAAACCTGAGTACTGTTTTATCCTGAATAAATTCAGACTGATTAAATCAGATTTTGGCTGATATTCAGTTTAAAATTATGAATATTGGTTTTATCTGGCCATTAATATAATTATCAAAATAAAATGCATATATAATTAAAGACTGAGTGAGTGAGTGAGTGAGAGAGGGAGAGGGAGAGGGCGAGAGAGAGGGTGAGGGAGGGAGAGGGCGAGAGAGAGGGTGAGGGAGGGAGGGAGAGAGAGAGAGAGAGAGAGAGAGGGAGGGAGGGAGAGAGAGAGAGAGAGAGAGAGAGAGAGAGAGAGAGAGAGAGAGAGAGAGAGAGAGAGAGAGAGAGAGAGAGAGAGAGAGAGAGAGAGAGAGAGGGAGAGAGAGAGGGAGAGAGAGAGAGAGAGAGGGAGAGAGAGAGAGAGAGAGAGAGAGAGAGAGAGGAGAGAGAGAGAGGGAGAGAGAGAGAGGGAGAGAGAGAGAGGGAGAGAGAGAGAGGGAGAGAGGGAGAGAGGGAGAGAGAGAGAGAGAGAGAGGGAGAGAGGGAGAGAGGGAGAGAGAGAGAGAGAGAGAGAGAGAGAGAGAGAGAGAGAGAGAGAGAGAGAGAGAGAGAGAGAGAGAGAGAGAGAGAGAGGGAGGGAGGGAGGGAGAGAGGAGAGAGAGAGAGAGAGAGAGAGAGAGAGAGAGAGAGAGAGAGAGAGAGAGAGAGAGAGAGAGAGAGAGAGAGAGAGAGAGTGAGTGTGTGAGTGAGTGTGTTTAATTTGTGTAAGTAATAGATGCAAAAACCTATGTGACAATCAAAACCAAAATAAATTGACCTGGTTAACTCAATAAACAAAATATTCTTGAGAACTGATGCTGACTTTGAGTATCATACACACAGCAAACCTCCTTGGTAATAAATAGCGTCACAAAAAAAAAATCTTGGAAACAAAATATATAAAGCACAGGAAGATAGTTGAGGTTACTGAAAGAATTGCCTCTTGCCTTGGAAATGCAAGTTACTCACAGCACAGAGAGGAGTGTTTGGCAGTAAAGAAATACATCAAACTTACCTATCACACACACACTGCAATTACCCTGAGTATGCTCCTCATGAGCTTTATTTCACATAAATGTCAATATGTTAGTATACAGAGACCTTTATGTACATTGGATGATGCATGGTCACATGTATGTACAAAAACAAATGCATATACAAATGCACAAATACACACAGTCAAGGCTTCCATCTTCCCTTAAAAAATGTGCTGTCTTTTAAAGGTGAGATATGTAATCATGTGGCTAGAAATGAACAAGACTATCAGCTGAAAGGAAGAGAAAACATTCCCAGAATAGTTACAGAAATATCTTCAACATCAGCTGTTTTTTTTTAAATATATATACACGTTTAGCATTGCATTCCTGGTTGCAGTCAGAGATATTATAAGATTCTGACAACTATGCATCCCAGTCTACAGTATGTAATATTTAGGCAAGTGACATAATTGAATGCTTCTAATTGTGCATTTGGCAGTCTATTGGGCACTTGTAACTCAGTCCAGGCTTATTCACCTACAGAAACATAAAGGGATATATCAATGAATATAACTCTTATTGACTTGTGACTTTAATCATACACTGTATATACTGTTCACTTTTGTAATTCACTGAAAAATTATAAAATTAGAATTATAATTCATAAAGAATATATTTTTTTATCTATTAATTAACATATTTCTTACTGACTGAAAACTGGTCGTCTGCTGCACAAACATTTTACATTCATATAAATATTTATACAACTTTATATATTTGTCCCAGAAGTCATATACTAAAAATATACTTCAGTATATACATAACACAGAGACATTATATTTAATACAATTACTGATACATGAATTATCATATAAGTTAAATGAACTGATATGTTTTATATATACAGTAATATTTTTCCTATGTATAATTTAGGTAGTTACAGTTGATAGCACTAAGTCATATATATTCAAACACATGCTCTCACTTTGTCTGTCTCTGTGTGTCTGTGTGTCTTTGTGTCTGTCTGTCACACACACACACACACACACACACACACACACACACACACACACACACACACACACACACACACACACACACACTCACGCACACGCACACGCACACGCACACGCACACGCACACGCACACGCACACGCACACGCACACGCACACGCACACGCACACGCACACGCACACGCACACACACTCACACTCACACTCACACTCACACACACACACACAAATAATAATAATAGAAATAAAAACAATAAAAAATAAAACTATATATGTATGTTTGTATGTGTGTCACCTATATGAATGTAACAAGAAATGATTTTGCAATACATGCATCTCAGAGATATTATTGTCAGTTCACTTTTTAACAGTCTTATACCATCCATCACTCAGTACAACATACCATTGTCATTTCTCAGTAACTAAATAAAACATGCAATCTATTTTTCAAATAAAAAATACTGTATATACAACCTGTGCAATGTCAAATTGCAGAAGGAAATAAGCACCGATCACTAATACTATGCATTGACAGTTCATTACCTATGATGAGGCATAGTCTAAATAAAAAATAAATAAAAAATGATTAAAACGAATGTAAGGATAATGAGGGAAGATAAAAGCCAATCAACTTTCACTACAAAAGTACATAATGTCCTATGCACTCATATTTTCAAATTTAAAGATGATTTTATAAATATCAACATATAATACTGAAGACCTTGTGGATATGGAAAGATATAGACAGAGTAAATATAATAAAACCATAAATAAAATAAGAACTGAACAGATATAATAACTCAAATATAACCTTTCATATACTTAGATAAAAATCATACTGAAATTTCTTACAAATTATATTTTTGGACCACCATTGACCACATCTGAATTGCTTGTGCTTTCCTGGTCATTCTTTCCATCTGATGTCTGACCATTTTGGAAACTGATACTATAAATAACCTGGTTCCTCTTAAAAGCTCCACTGAAGATGTTGCTGGCCTCAATCTGAATTCCATTCTTTCGGCACTCGAGGAAACGCTCTGCAAAGAACCTATTTGTTTCGTGGACATATGGATGGTTGATATACTCCTCCAGCTGAAATAAAGTGAAGAAATTAAACCTTATCTTATTCTAAA